GGGTTAGTCATAAAAGTCAGGCATCAAGGGTACTGTCCCAAAAGTATAGACACAATACTCACACGTCTCTATCACACTGTCAGCCCTTCAGATTCCCACTGCTATTGCCTTTTTAAGGTAAAGTTATACATTTTGATGATATATGTATGCCTAAGGGCAGATGAGAACCCCAAACCTCTCATATTTAAAGCCGAAATGTTACGAAAGTGGCAGATATGGGAATGAAGTCAAATTAATCCAATCAAATTCAATAATTACGTTTATTTGAGTGCTTGAATAGGTCCGCAAGACTACAGAAGTCACAGTGCAATGAGAACTTTATTTTAAAAAAATATTTAATGTGCTGTTGTTTTAATTATTTTTTAAGTATTTGAATATCATATTATACTATGTACTGCTAGAATATTGCTGGTAATATTATTACCTATTATACACCACCGGTCAAAAGTTTGGGATCAATACGATTTTTTAAGAAGAAATTAATACTTTTATTCAGCGGCGATGCATTAAATTAATTAAAAGTGACAGTAAAATCATTTAAAATATTTCACAATATTTCTAATTTTAAATAAATGTTGTTCTTCTGAAAATTCTATTGATCAAAGAATCCTGAAAAAAGCTGTATGTACACAAAAATATTTAGCAGCAACATTTTGTTGTTCTGTTTTCCACATTTATAGTAATAAATGTTCCTTGAGCAGAAATCATTCTAGTATTTGAGCAGTTGCTGAAATTTCAGCTTTTTACCACAGGAATAAATTACATTTTAAAATCTAAAAAAATAGAAAAGAGTTAAGTAAGGGATAATCAACGGTTTGCCGTGCATTAAAGGATTTTAAATGCACGACGTGGAGGCCAAGAACCACCCGACGCGGTCGACTACCCGACTGCTTGAATGAATTATCGATCGAGAGAGAGATGACATTTGTGTGTGTGAATTACCTGCATCTGTGCGTCTCTCTCTGCAAACAAGGAAGCTGTTTAGTTACTTCGATTTTACCTCGTTGCTGAGGAAGATAATGGAACGATCTAGTATCTATGCTATTTTATTAATAAATGTCGCGGGGCAGCACCGGCAATAAGTTTCTGTGTGTGCGCAGCGCAATCTGCGATCTCCGACCTCTCTCCCTCTCACTGTGTGTGTGCGAGTAGTGTGTGTGTGTGCATCAATTAAAGCAGCGCATTAATATAGAACGTAGTGTTGTCACGGTACCAAAATTTCAGTATTCGGTACCAATACCAGTGAAAATCCACAGTTCTCGGTACCAATTTCGGTACCAAAGCAAAACACAAAAACATGCTAATTAAAAAATTTGACTATACTTTCATTTAATCCAAACTGTGTACATATTTAATTTTAAAGGGCTTTTGAAAACCTTCTAGAGTTATTCAGCCAAGAATAACAACTAACGTATGCTTAGCCACGCTTATGCTAACGATTAACTACTCTAATAACAGCGTTCATTTCAATCCGACATTCAAATTAAAATATTGAATAATATTCATAACAGAAGCGGTGTTTCCCACAGACTTGCACTCTATTTGTGGCAGCGTATAAATGCAAATTCATTCTCTGCCAGCAGGAGGTTTCCCCAGTAACGGCTGTAATCAGATAAGTGCTGCGCTCACAAACGCTGCTCAGGCATTACAGGCAAGATGAAATATCTTCATAATTCATATGAATCAAATATCTTCATAACATCCATAATTTCCTGAAGACAGTCGGTTTCCTTCAGAAATACAGTGATATAAAAAGACCCGCACCGGGTTTCGACTTTGACACAGTGCTCATGTTTATTCAACGAAGTCGAAGCCTTTTGGAAAATCTATTTGTGGCGGTCAGTTTTGATATTGTGGTGGGCCGCCACAAATAAATCAGTGTATGGGAAACACAATGAAACTTACCTGCTTGAACTTTCATTTGATCTGGGTGTCTGTCTTTAAAGTGTTTTGTTAGTTTGGTGTGTTTCCTCCTCTTGATGTCACCACGTCTCAGTGCTTTTATGAAGAGAGCGCATCTGCGCACCTTTCGGATAGCGCATCAGGAACCGGGTTGACCGGGTATTCGGTACCACCGGTACTTAAAAAAAAACCTGGTACAGTAACATTTTCATTTTTTAGTACCGACTTGGTACCGAAGTACCGGGTCTTTTGACAACACTAATAGAACGGTGATTAAACTGACTTGGAACTACCTGTGCATTAAACGGTTTTAATGCATACCTGCCAGCCAATCAGAATTGAGTATTCAGACAGACCATGGAATAAAATAATAGTATTTCACAATATTACTGCTTTACTGTATTTTTTTATCAAATAACTGCAGCCTTGGTGAGCATAAAAAAATAAAAAATCTTACCAACCCTAAACTTTTGAAAGGTAGTGTTAATGGTAGGGGTATTAATTATATATATTTATGTTAAATTATATGTGCATGTTTTAAAAAATAATCATGACCTAAGCCTTTGCCATGTTGTGATGTTAAGCACATCTGTGTACCTCCCACCCTCAAACGGTCCCCAGTGGATGGAGAGATCACTCACTTGGGTGTGAAGTGTGAGGAAGTTTGGCACCCACGTGAAGCTTTCAGGGGAACTTTGAAAAAGACCCAAATAGAGCAAAGCTGTGAGGTTGTTTTCTATTAACTTCTGGCACATTCTGGTGGAAGATGTCTCATATTTTGACAAAAGAGATGAGAGGCGGGTTAAATCAGAAACTATTTTACTCAATTATTGTGACTTTTGGTGATTTCGAAAAATTTTAACCGTATTAAACCAAATCCACAGGGCTCAACCCAGCTTACATGCCTTATGATCCTCGATTGTTGTCCAAAACCATCAGTTTCATCCAGAATGTTGATCCATATTCACATTATTGTCATTCTCCATATTCCTCTGAGCGACACACAGTACAGAGGCTTGCATACGCTTGGAATTAAACATCATCCAATCAGGAGAGAACCTGACGCACCAGTTGGCGATGTTGACCGTGTAAACCATTCCATCAGCATGACAGGGATGAGTGTTTTCTGCTTAATTATGAACACATGTCACTCAGGCTCTCTGAATAGACCTGATGTGTGATTACTCATCCTGCTGCCATCTGATAGGCCGGTGAGAATGATGTCATAGCAGCTGCCAAATACCCCAAGCACCCCCCAAAATCGAAGGTTACATAACATCTAGCCAACGTTTAACCCCTACGATGAGTTTTACCAGTACAGTTGTCAGTGGCTATACTCGAGGACTCCTACCAAACCTGTACAAGCTTGTGGTTCATTTCTCATTTAAAAAAAAACTCTACTTAATGACCTACCTGTGTTTTTGCGGGTATTTTAAGTGTGATTTCGTTCTTTCTGTCTTTAGATAGGTTAGAAAGGGAGCTCCTCCAATACTGCATGCTCTTTTGTAAGTCCTTTGTTGTTAATAAAGTGTTGGAGTCTTTTCACGCTTCTCTGGCAAGTGCCGAGCGCTGCGGGGCAGGGGGGAGCCGCAAACACCAAGCCAACTTCATCTGTGTTCATTTGACTGGAGAGAGAGAAAGAGACTTGCTGATGGAGCTGTAAAAATTACCTGCTTTTTTTAGTAATGAGATTTTGGCCTAGAGAGAGAGAGTGGGATGGCAATAGACTCTGAAAGAGAAGTGTAAGCGAGTGAAAGTGAGAAACTTTGGGGAGCGCAGAGGAGAACCGCACCCATAGCCGCTCTTCTCTGCTCAACACACAGCCTGTCTTGTCCCTGTCAGTATGGCTCAAACTTTCCATCTGCTCGCACTTAGACTTTTGTATTGTGGAATATTGTATTCTGACGCAAAACTGCCCTCAAAAATTTTTGCTCCGAAATTGCAAATTAATTGGTGTGTATATATATATATATATATCCACTTGTGGATATGCAGAAAAACCTGAAAAATAGTGGAAAATGTTTTAAACGATATGTTGTGATGGTGTCCTTTAAAATATACTGATAACCGCCATAATAACACAACAACAATATTATATTATTATATTATGTTATTATTATATTATTAGTTAAACCACCTTCTTAAATTAATTAAAAGGTTCCGTTTATAGCCATGTCTGCAAGAGAGATTTGGAAAATGCCACAAACTATGTTTATTCTGACCAAATAATTTGTCAGGGTTATTATAGTTAAAACTAAACTTAAAATAAAAACCATAATAAACATTAACTTAATATCAAATATTTAAAAACTCCAACTTCCTTCAACTATATAGTTGCCAACATAACATTTCTTATTTTCTATCTTAATGTACTAGAATAACTAAAAATAAAACTGAAACAAAAAATTAATAAAAACTATATACACACACATATTTTAAAATAAACACAATAACTAATATCACAACAACACAAAACAAAATTACCAAAACTTTAGCTAAAATTAAGATAAAATCACAAAATATAAAAATAAAAACTAATTCAAAATGTTACTGAAAACTGTAATAGTATCTTAAAAGTATCTGTCATTAGAAAGTGTCACGTTATCGTTTAACTTGTCATCCTGTGTGTTCCTCAACACTCACCACATTAATAATGATATCTTTATTGCTATCTGCTGTCAAACGCAGCCACAACTGGTTCACATTTTGAATGTTCAGGGTTGTTTTGTTCTCCCGATTCTCTCTGGATGATGTCCTAGAGGAAGTTTCCGAGCTGTTTCCGAACATCCTTCATCCACTTTACCAGCTCGTTTCCATTCCTGTCTGGAATATTGGGTCTGTTCTTTACTCCATCCTGATATACTCATTCATGCTGTCATGGATGTTCTGAGAGTCTGATTAATGAAAAGAAATGAAAAGCGTTCACGTTTCTGAGTGTATATATTTATTTGAAAGGACTGTGCGTGTATTTGTGAATGTTTTGAAATCTCACCTATTGATATATTCAGCAATATTGCACCACTGATACTGCAGCAGTCTGAGAAGGACTTTACTGTGTTACGACTGTGATGTTTACTGGGTTGTTCCCTGTCTTTCAGAGTAAAGAACAGCAGCTCCAGGCCTCAAACCAAAGTAATAAAGTGTTCCTGTTCTGCGCCTTCCTGGACTACAGGTGGGTTACACAGATTCAAATATGTATTTATGCACACAAATGTTGATTTATATTTATATAGCCAGAAATGTAATATTGCCCTTCATTCACAGAGTGACAGGCATTATGGGATGTCGTTTTGGTGCTTGTATGTTTTTTTCTTACTCGATATGATGTTAATATTCCAAATTTCTTGAACTATTAAAATCTGTTGTGCACTTTAAAAAATAAACTGATAACCACCATAATAACAAAATAACAATATGTAATTTAAATAATAACTATTTAAATCAAATATAAAGCCGAATATGATGGTGACTTCAGAGAATGTCTTTTTTTTTTACTGCAAATTATACTTTTTTTTCCTTATTGTTACTTCCAAAATACATACGAAAACTCAATGCATTTAATGCATTTTAACAGTACTTTAATATAAAAGTTTTATCCAATTAACAGTTTTTTGGTAGCTTTTTCTTACATACTTTTTCTGTTAAAACTATTAAGATTGCAGGGTGGGACTCATGTTTACATTTTTAGATATTTTTAAAACATCTTTCACTTTTTTTATGGTCTTTTATATTCCCAGCTTTCACCCTCAATGTCACTGTTCTCGGATATTTATGCAGTCCTTCCTGTATATTCTCTCTCGCCCATCTATCTCTCTCCATCTGTCATTTTTAGTGCCTCATTTCACATTTCCTGTTAAAGGAGTGGATCACTTCCACAACAAAAATTTACAGATAATGTACTCACCTCCTTGTCATCTAAGATGTTCATGTCTTTCTTTCTTCAGTCGTAAAGAAATTATCAGTTTTTTTTTACAATTTATATACTTTTTAACCTCAAACGCTCTTCTTGTCTAGCTCTGCGTGAACTCAGTTTTTTCCGGTTCATGACAGTTAGGATATATCGAAAAACTCCCATCTCATTTTCTCCTCCAACTTCAAAATTGTCCTACATCGCTGCAGAAGTACCGACCCAGTGTTTACAAAGTGAACATGCAAAGAAGGTCAAACGCCCTTTATAAAAAACAGTAAAACAGCGATGTAGGACGATTTTGAAGTTGGAGGAGAAAATGCCGTTTTTAGACCTTTGATGCTGCATTTAAACTGCATTTTGGAAGTTCAAACTATAGAAGTCCATTATATGGAGAGAAATTCTGAAATGTTTTCCTCAAAACATAATTTCTTTACGACTGAAGAAAGAAAGACATGAACATCTTGTATGACAAGGGGGAGAGTACATTATCTGTAAATTTTTGTTCTGGAAGTGAACTACTCCTTTAAAGCTTGTCAGGAAGTGCTTTAATATATCAATGTGTGTCTTATATTTATGTCCCACTGTAATCCCATTACCTATGTAAGGGCCAGAAATAGGTAACGGTTATACATTTAGCACATCTACATTGTGATTTCCAGCAATTTAAACATTTTCATTTTGACTATTTAAAGAATGGAATTTGCAGTCAGGTCATTTTTCTTGCAGTTTAAATCTTTCTGTCTTTCTTCCAATTCATCATTGAAACATGTCATTTAGAAATTATGAAAGTCTGTTTTTAATAAAAAAGCAATTTTATACTATAATATCTATGCCCGAAAAATCACTTAAAGCCAATAAACGAAGCCAATTTGCCAATTTGAAACCGAGCATGTTTGATTTGGAGTGAGAGCCTTTCCTCTTTTGTCTTCTCTATCTCTCATTCTTTGTCATGCTCGTCCGCTCTTTCTCCAATGAGGGCATTTAATAAATGACTGCATCTATAATGGAATGATGAAGCTGGAATATTTGCTCTCACTGAGATTAATTGGATCTTGCGTTAGTTTTGATTTAGTTTAGATCTGATTTGATTAATAACTCGCTGGTAATTCCATTAACACTGGGCGAGGGTGTGAATGTGTATGGTTTCAATATAAACAATGAACAACTCCAGCAACTGTAATGCTCAATTAAACTTGTATGTATGTGTGTGTTTCAGCTCCAAAGAGGGTGTGTGGTCCAACGAGGGGTGTGTGAGAGCTGATGGAAACCTGTCCTTCTCTATTTGCTTGTGTAACCATCTGACAAACTTCGCCATCCTTATGCAAGTGGTTCCCATGGAGGTGAGGCACTCTCAGTGTGACTCTGTCTGGTGCCAGTTTTATTTTGTGCTATAGATGAATTACCATTCGTCTTGCTGGCTTTGGCAAAATATTAAGTTAATTCAAATAATTAAAGAACTTTACAGCTCATTCTGTTTGTGTGTCTCTTTAGGTTTTACACAATTATGTCTACATGTTCCATGGAGAATTAAATTAATTGTTGTGACAGTAAAGTCATTTATGTTTCTATTTCAAATAAATGCTTTCCTTTTAGACTTTCTATAAATCCTTAGAATCCTGAAAAATATCTATTTAAAAATCTTACTGACCCCAAACTTTTGAACGGATGTGTATATACTTTTCGTTTTTTTTTTTTTTTTTACAGTTTTGCAAACTTAGGAATAACGCATTTTACAGCTTAGTTGCTTTCATCAGTATTGATTCTGCAAAGTTTCACCATGAGAGCCCCATTTTAAGATTCCGTTTCAAGTAAAACAAGCATTCAGCTTTAAAAAAACACATCTTGAGACCTCTGTGATTTTCTCCATTTTATCAGGCTTCATCTATCTGTTATGAATGCAAGAATGCATTCTGTCTGAATGAAAGCATGCAATTTCCTCACTGCTGTTATTTATAACTTTGATGCAAATAAGAGAACTGAATCCTGCTTTACAGAGATATGCACAAGCAGACATCTTTGCATATTCACCGTTTGTGGCAAAAGAGCATAATTTCTTTGAAATAGAAATCTTTTGTAACAATAGTAATCGCTCGTAATCCTTGTTGAATAAAATTATATCATTATATTTCTTAAAAAAAATCATACTGACCCCACTCTTGGACAGTAGTGTAAGTCTAACCTATAAATGTTATGCTCAAAAAAATATTTAAAAAATGTACCATGTTTCCTGTGTTTTTTTCTCATGAGATGAATTATCTAATTTTACAGCCCCCATATTGCAATGTTATTCTAATCAGTAAACCACTCATTTACTCATTCGGTCTGACTAGCGAAGCTTATGTAAGCTGTAGATGTCCAGAAATATGGACATATAATACAAAACTGGCAGCGAACCCTGACATTAGTGGAATTTCTCAAGATTCCTTGATTGAGCATGTAGGTCATTTCCCAGGAGGGATCTCTGAAAACACCAAGGCACTGCGATGAATGCGATGCTAACTGTGTTTCTCGTCTTCAGCGAGCCAGCAGCATGCAGGGTTTGATGTTTTGATTGGCCGAGACTCTCAGTAAATCAGCAGCGGAGCTTTAAGCGAGAAGACAGTTTGGACGTAGTTAAGACACTTCTCCAAGGGTGACGTGCTGGATTTTGTTTCTAGTTCATTCGAAACCTGTCGTTGTGTGTGAAAGCGTCTTGACTCACAGTGTGGCTGTGTGGGTCGAGGACTGTGGCCTGGGTTTGGGGCGGACAGATGGATTGTCATTTGTCAGAGAAAGCTTGTAAATAACATCTGCCTTTTGAAATACTGAACGACAGGCACAGCTTGATATTTGGGTAACCCTTGTCCTGTTGATTTATTTAAAGAAAGCTGAAGAGTGAATTTAACTCAGGCTAAAGACCCTGTCAGCAACAACTACTCGCTAAGTAGGGGCATGTTTGTGAAGATGAGAGACATATTGCTTCACACAAAGGCAGATTGCCTTTTTGAGATTCGTGCACGAGCCAAACCGAGGCACCCAGGTGCAGCTTGGCTCTTCTGCGTCGATCATCTGCATGTGTTTGTTGAGAAAATCTGTCCTCGCTCGGTCATATAATCATCTCCTCTGGAGCTTTGATGCTAATGCCCGCCTCTGCCGGGGCCTCAATTAGCAGCTCACCTCAATACATCAAGCCTGGAGGAAATCGTGCTTTCTCCACCGCTCCGCAGATCCTCGATATTCTGGGCCCACGATAATCACAAGGCATGAAGCGGAGTTAATGTACAATCGAACCCACGCACGGAAATAGAATTACTATTAACAATACAGCTCTATATTCTGACGGATGTTCAGGAATAAATCTGTTCACTCTTCACCAACAGATGCTTATAAGGTGTAGCATGCTATCTAGCACGTATCAAGTCATGATTACAGCAAATGAGGCTCCATAATGTCAAATTTTGATGTTTTGAGGTGGTTAATACCAGATCATCAGTTGTAGAAGTACAGAATGAGACGTTTTCAATGCTTAGTTACGATAAAAGCGATAAATTCATTTTCGATTTTAGCTTAATTTTCTCATTTTTAGTAGTGATGTTTTTTGTTTGATTTTTCATTGTTTTTGAAGGAAGTTTCTTACGCTCATCAAGGCTGCATTTATTTGTTCGAAATACAGTAAAAACAATAATTTTGAGAAATATTACAATTTAAAAGAAGTATTCTATTGTAATTATTTAAAAATGTCATTACTCCAGTCTTCAGTGTCTCATGATCCTTCAGAAATCATTCTAATATGCTGATTTGCTGCTTGAGAAACATTTCTTCTGTTTATCAATGTTGAAAATAGTTGTGCTGATAAATATTTTTTTATAAAAACTGCAATACATTCTTTGATGAATAGAAAGTTCAATACGACAGCATTTGAAATAGAAATCTTTTGTAACATTGTAAATGTCTTTACTGTCACTTTTGATCAATTTAATGCATAATTTCTGAATAAAAGTATTAATTTCCTTAAATAAATATATTACTGACCCAAATCTTTTGAATAGTATCATATAACAGGTTCTAGAAAAGAGAAATATTGAGGATTCATGTGTAGAGAGACCGAATGTAGAGATATTTTTATACATAAAGCAAGCCTGGGGCTGTTACTGTTCATCTTTTCTCAACCGACGGTCTACCATGTCTGTGAATAGTTAGTTCTCTCTCTCTCTCTCTCTCTCTATATATATATATATATATATATATATAAACAACTTGTTCCAAGAAATTATTTAATTGATTGTCAGACTCGTGCAGGTTTGTTCTGATGAAATGATCTTGAAATTGTCAAGTCATTTAATATTATGCGACCATCAATCCCAGTACAGCTGGTCATCGCTAACCTTTGACTTAACAATCAGTGGATTGTTGCTGTGGTATTCAGTGTTTCTTATTTGTAGTAACGTCTGGGGTTTTCAACACATTTAACCCTCTTCAGTGCTGTAAACTAAACCAACTTCAGCCATTTTCATCATCTCATTGCCTGAGCTGTCATGTTTGTCTCCACCTCAGCTCTCAAAGGCCCACCATGTGGCGCTGTCCACCATTAGCTACATCGGCTGCTCTATCTCTATTTTCTGTCTGGCAATTACACTGGTCACCTTTGCTGTCCTGTCGTAAGTATCCCACAATGCTCTGAGAACATGCAGGATTTTAATCTACTATTTAAATATGGTCAAAAAAGTTTTATTCACATGGCTAAACTTCTCATTTCCATTTATTAAATATAATAACTTGCCATTTCAATTAATTAAACACTAAAAGCGTTTAATGTTTCTGCACCATTACTATTACAAATGTATCTGTTTTTTTTTGTTGTTTTTTTTTCTGTCCATACAGGTCTGTTAGCACCATCCGTAATCAGCGTTACCATATTCATGCAAACTTGGCATTTGCAATCTTAGTCGCTCAAATCCTTCTGCTCATCAGTTTCCGCTTCAATCCCGGCACGGTGAGTCCATCTAACACTCATCTTAAATCAGTGATTCTCAGCCGTTTTGACTCGAAGGCCCTCCGTAGTCCAACACAATAACAGATAACATAATAAGAAGAGCTGTATGTTCTTCAACTACAAATACTAGTTATATAGGGAAAATAAAAAGAAATTTGATTTCATTGTTTTTTTTTGTTTGTTTTTTTAGAATTTGCATTTAGATTATTTTAATATATTAATAATAATTTCTTAATTTATATACTTTTAAGTCATCCCTGTTATATTATTTTAGTATTATTTATATACTATTAGCTTTTTATTAATAATTTGAATTGGCTTTTATTAATTTTTTTATACTCTCCATTTTCATTTTCATTTTAGTTACATTTTTAGTCCGTTTTGTTATGTGCATTTGACTGTTAATCAGATGTTACTAATCAGGTTTAATTTAGTTTTATTTGCGTTTTAGTTCAGTTGTAGTTTTTATTTATTTTATTTCTTGTTAGTAATTTTAGTGCTTCGACTTGTTGCATTGGCAACTAACTGGAAAAAAGTTTAGGTTTTCCATCTAATATTTATATTTATTTTATTTCAGCTTTATTTTAATTAACAAAAATGTTTTCGTTCAGAAATAATAATTAACAAAAATTGTTTTAGTTTTAGTTAATGATAATAACCCTGATTAAGTCATCCTTGTTAAGAGCCACTGTAGAGCACAGTTCTGCATTAAAAACAGCAGTGAAAAAAATGTATTAACTAAAATTCAAATGAGAGTATCCACACACAAATATTGTTGGAAGATGCTTGCTTATGAAATGTTCGAATTAAATCAACATCTCATTTACAATATGTGATTGTGTCTGATGTCTATGGTGATTATCGTATCGTCATCAGTATCAGAAACAGCATGTTGTCATTACATAAAGAAATCTAATAAGGTGGAAAGAGCCAATGACTTCATTTGATACTTCATTAATTTGATTGTGCTTCCTCTGTCTGAGGACTTGGCTGAAATCTTGCTATGGTAATGTCAGTGTTGAGATTGCTGAGCTCAACCACTCTGTCGCCCATATGTTTATTTTAACAACATGTGTTACATTAGCTAAGATTCACAAAGTAGATCAGTTTTCGGAGCAGTGTATTTTGTCTATACGCTTGTCCTCTCTCTCCCAGCTCCCGTGTAAGATCATGGCTGTATTGCTGCATTTCTTCTTCCTGTGTGCGTTCGGCTGGATGCTGGTGGAAGGGTTGCATCTCTACAGCATGGTGGTCAAAGTGTTTGGGTCAGAGGGCAGCAAGCACTTTTATTACTATGCAATCGGATGGGGTGAGTACAACATCTTGCAGACTGGTTCTGAGCGCTAGGTGTGGAGAATGCAGCAGACCACCACAATCTGACATACTTTATTGGCATTCTGTAGCGTCACTGTGATTCAGACACCAGAATCAGCTTTTTATATACAACGCATTTGAATCTATGCCCAGTTTTAACACTCTTCTCAATCATTTGACCATCGTTTGATGAATAACTAAAATGTACACAATTGTCTCTTTCAAAAGATATTTTATTTACCAACTGCTTTGTGTAAATAGTATTAATGCACTAGACAGGTACTGATGAGTTTTATGAATAAGATGTATGCATAATAAGAAGAATTGACATATAAAGGAAGAGCTTGAGCTGAAAAGACAATCTTATTCACTAACTGTGCGTATGCACGAATTTGTGAAATTTGCACACAAACATTTTCATAAACAAATCATGGTTCACTGATAGCTTTTATATTAAATTATTCCACATTTAGGAAAAAATGTACAAATAACTGGAGCTACACGTACACAAAAATCACATACTCTGGTTGGCCTTATAATCGGAAAGCCCTTATATTGAGATTGTTTGGTTGTGTTTTATGCAAATTTCTCTTTTGAAATACTCCAAATTCATAGTTATTAGAACAAGGTTATAAACAAATTCATGTGCTTACTCGTTTTACGTGGACATTTTTTGGTTGGAAAAGATTTTTGAATGAGATAAGGTTCTTTTTGAAGATGCAGGTTTTTGCACTGAAATATCACAGATACAGTGACCCTTTTTGGTGAATTCATCCCTGTGTATACACACACATTCATATAAACTACACACTCCATCACACACAGACATGCTTGAACTGACTTACAAAATCACACATGCTGAGAAGAAAAACATCAGGTCAGTTTCATTTGCCTTAAACGACCCAATTCAGCGTAATGCGCAAACCCAAGAGAGTCAGATGAGGTTGTCCCATGGCAGGCATTAGCGCTGAGAGAGATCAGCCTCCTCCCTCAGCCGTCACTGATGTGGCAGTGTTGTAGAAAAGGGGAGGAAAAGAAGACATTTGTTCATTACAGTCTGTCTGAGATGTCAGTAGATTAAAAGACATTAAATCTTAGCAGAGTCTTTAGTGGGTCAACACTAATGATGCTGTCAGTGTTATTAATTGACCTGATCTCAAATGTGCATATGTGATAATAGACATCTTTCACTCTATTGGGAACAGTTTATAATCAGCCTTTTGTTTTTAGTTGTTCACATAAAATGACATTGCCAGAAGGAGGCCTTGAAATAAATCAATATACACTTTTATTAGAACATGCAAAGTTGGCATTATGAAAACGGAAGGTGTTTTCCATTATTACATATGATAAAGTGTTGAATAAATAGACATGTTTATTTGTATCCATAGTGACACGGGTGATAGGCTCAGTGTGTATGAAGAAAACAGGCTTTGTTAGACTTAAGTCATTACTTCAGACTGAAGTCTACTCCCTTTCTAAAAGCCTCTGGCACAGCCAGACTGCTCTTTATTTATGGTGGCATGAAACAACCGGCTACAGTCCAAAAGTTCTTATTTTAGTTCCTACGACATAATCTGAAAACTTCTACGCTAGGTTTTACAACAAGGTATTTTTAGCTCCAATAACGTTCCAGGTTTTTTCCCACAAACATTTGTCTTTTAGCACGTCATTCACATATAACAAAAACATATGGTGAGAGGGAGAGAGGGATTTGACAACGTTACTAAGCTATAAACTCTTTGTACTATACAGTATATAGTATATATTGTGAATTATTACAATTTAAAATAGCTGTTTTCTATTTGAATATATTTTCAAATGTAATTTATTCTTGTGATGGCAAAGCTGAATTTTCAGAATCATTGCTCCAGTCTTCAGTGTCACATGATCTTTCAGAAATCATTCTGAATATGCTGATTTGGTGCTTAGTAAACATTTTATTATCATTATCAATGTTGAAAACAGTGCAGTTTATTTAAAATAGAAATCTTTTGTAACAAAGTAAAAGCCTGTCACTTTCGATGAATTTAATGCGTCCTTGCTGAATAACGGTATATTGATTAATTTATTTATTTTCAAATTTCAAGCACTGCTATCACTGCATGAAATTGTTACTTCTGAAACCTCTCTCTAAAACTGTTCACATCTTTACTCAGGATGTCCTTTTGTCATATGTGTGGTGTCTATGACCTCGTCACTAAACAGCTATGGAGAGGATGGCAAGTAAGTTACCATGACAACACCATGGGCCATGACATGGTAAACAGATGTCCAGTTTGAAGAGAAAAGGTGATTTGTCCCTCTTGTTTTGTCTTTCCTGTATTAGTTGCTGGCTGTCTCTGAAGAATGGGGCGATTTGGGCTTTTGTAGCCCCTGCCCTGTTTGTAATAATGGTAAGCAGCTGTTAATGAGGTGTGTTAAATGCACTACATTAGGTGAGCATGAAAGGAACACTTGTAATGTTGTAATCTCTGCCGTCCAGGTGAACATTGGCATTTTGATAGCTGTGACACGGATCATATCCAGGATCAGCGCTGAGAACTATAAGGTTCACGGAGACGCCAACTCTGTTAAGTGAGTTTATCTGCTATCATGATTGTAATATCGGCCATCATGCGTTTGCTTTTTTTCATACGCGTGTTTGTCTTTCTAGGCTTACGACTAAAGCAGTGGCGGTACTCTTGCCCATCCTGGGCATATCGTGGATCTTTGGGGTTCTGGCGGTGAACGACCACTCCCTGCTTTTCCAGTACATGTTTGCAGTGTTTAACTCACTACAGGTCAGGCATCACTAGTGTGTCACACAACAATTTCACCAGCAACCTGATTGATTTTCACACGGTTTACAGCCTCCAAAGTCAATAGCGCCTTCGCCAAACAATGACAGCTTTAAAAAAATATGGGACATAATTTTTGAAATGACTTTAGGCCTGGACTGACTTGTAAGAACTTTTGCAGATGAGAATTGGAGTGCTTTCACAACATTTAGTGTTATCTGTTGTTTTTCTTTTATTCCTCAAAGGGGTTCTTCATATTCCTGTTTCACTGTCTGTTAAACTCTGAGGTAAGAGTGTGTTTGTGCAGCTGTGTCAGAAGTCTGTGCTGTATGTCAGGGGAAAATGTCTGACGTAGCCGCAGTAAACAGTACACTGGTGTAAATAATAAGAGTTAAAGTGTGATCGCCATCTAGTGATGTTAATTTGATACTGCATTACGTGCATGCACTTATAGAGAGACACTTTCAAACTATTACGATCTCCTTAAAACCAAAGCAAATGTGTCAATCATGATGTTTGTTAACAGATTTCATGTCTTGTTACTGCTCTACAGGTGAGGGCTGCTTTCAAACACAAAACTAAAGTGTGGACTTTAACCAGCAGCTCAATCCGCAACATCAATGTCAAACCTTTCAACTCAGACATAGTGAGTAATTCCAGTTCTTTTCATTTTTACATTCATATTGCTCATGACCAGTGAATTTAAACACACACTTGTGAAAATGAATGTCATGAATGTTTTTTTAAAGAATTACATAAAATGGACACTTAATTGCATGTTATGCACAATTAAATAAAACACATAATAGCTTAATTATAACAGTTTAAGTTTGGATAGTGCACTTTCACGTCTAGGTTCAGAAATGGGGGTGACGCTTAAGGGGTTCAATTTATATTAAATCCAGTTGAATTTAAGACTGTATTTTTTGTATTTTTGACTCACTGAAGTAGAACTTGAGTTAATCTTTTTTTTTATTTTTTTTTTATATAATTACTTCTGTTGTATTTGAAATGTCGATAAAGTGTACTGCCAAATGTACTGACAAGCATTTATGGTAAACTAAAATATACTTTAATGTCATTCCTAATAAAACTTGTATTGTGTATTTAAATATATTTGTAATTGCTCATTTGTAATAATGAAGTTGCAATTTAGAACATGTAAAAACTAACTTTAATTATAATATCAAATAACACACTACCGTACACTATAATCAAGTACTTTACAAGTGCTTAAGTATGTTAGTCAGCTACTTTTTAAAGCATGACGAAAGATTATGAGTAATACGAGTACTTTAAAGTAAAACCTTTCATTTTACATTATTACACAGTACACTTTTGTACTTAAGAAGTAAAAGTGTACTTAAGTGTGTTAAGAAATATTCATGAAAGTATACTCTAAGTACACTTAAGTGGCCTTTTCAATCATTATATTAACTGCAAGTAAAGTATTTTTAAAATGTATTTTTATTTTATTTTTTTAAGATTTGAAGTACACTACAAGTTACAGTTAAGCACACTTCTTTTTCACCGGGGTTTTGGAACCCAAGCCTGTATTAATCTGGTTTTCTTTCACAGATGAACGGCCACAAGGGCGGTGTGACTCCCACAAAGATGAACACATGGGACAAAAGCACCAACTCAGCCAACCGCATAGATTTATCAGCGGTATAATGGCTTCTGGTCCAAAGAGAGCAAGAGGACAGCAGCATAGCATTTCTTGTAGAACATGTGCCTTTCTATATCACATTTTATATGGACTCCAAATGATGAAATGGCTAAAAACACTTGCAGCTCATTGTAGAATAGTTAACTCACAACACCGAGCTCTCTGATGTAATTTCCTCCTGCTGATGATCTCTCTAATACAAACATAGGATGAAGACACACAGCCCATTGTTGGGATGACTTTTTGATCGTTTGCTAATAATGTGGTCTGCTAAGGAATCTGAGTTCAAGAAAACACACTAACTCTCACAGACAGGAGACTCTCCTGAGATACAGTACCTGTGCTGTAACTGTTTGCTTGCTTTGATATTTTGAATAACACACTAGACCTGTGCTACATTTGGACCACTGTTTAGCCGTCCTTTAAACAGAGGAATCATCACGTACAAGTCTGGAGTGTCTCAACTTTAATAAGAACGCTTCTTTGCAACCGGCCTGAGTGAAGTAGCAGCTTCTATTAATTTTTGTCCATCTGCCCATCTACTATGGCTTTAAATTAGACCTGGAAGAGAAGTACAATACTGGCGAAAATCTCTGGAGTTCTTCCTCATTATTGTGATGGTTTTCTCTTTTTTAATGTAGTATTGTAAATGGCACTTGTTTTTAACCAAATTATTGGTTAATTTTAATTTTTATTATTTTTTTACAAGAGGTCAATGAAATATTGATGGTCAATCTCAGAAGGTCATTTAGAATATTGCACAACTTTATAGTGTATATATATATATATATATATATGAATGTTACTTTTTAAACAGGATGCGGATGAGATATAGATAAATAATGTTTTTGGTGATTAACAAATGACTTAATAAATTATGTTAATAAATACTAATATTAATTATTAAAATAACATGATATGAAACAAACACATTCAATTTTTATACTATAATAAATATGGCTTTGTTATGTCATTTAAATATTTTTGATGCTGTTGAGAAGGTCAAGACCTCTGAAGTGGGTCAGGCCTACAGACATTTGATGTATTTCATGCTAGATTAATTTCATGTTAGATAATAGCTTATTTAATCATTCCTAGAACAATAAACATGGGTCTTGTGTCTCTTTAAAATAGTACCTGAACACCTAATTATACCCTATTCATGCACAGTGCCAAATAGTTTTCATAATGTCATGATATGTATTAGTATGCGTCATTTCGTAAAGGTAAACACTTTTGTGATGTACATAGCACAGAACTGATGCGAAATGCCTTAAAGCCAGTGTGGGACACACACAGCCATACAGTGTCTGTAATTGTGCCGTCGTAGACATTTATTGGTACCAAAACAAGTCAATGTAGTATTAATGTGTGACCATTTATATCTTTAAATTATTGCCGTCATCATGCTCCAACAAGACTTTGATACTGATCTTCTTATACAGTATCACAACACTGTTGTTATCAACATTATAGCTTAATCAGCTATTGTCTTAGTGTTCATGCTCTCTGCCAAGAACAAACTACAGAAGGTACTTTATATTAGTACCAAAAGTTCAAGAGAGTATCATGCTCCAACAAGACTTTGATACTGCTTGAAAGATCTTCTTATACAGTATCACAACACTGTTGTTATCAACATTATAGCTTAATCAGCTATTGTCTTAGTGTTCATGCTCTCTGCCAAGAACAAACTACAGAAGGTACTTTATATTAGTACCAAAAGTTCAAGAGAGTTGCTCCCAAATGAACATTTAAAGGCCAAGTGCACTTCTTGTCCGATTGTTATTTCATATTTGAAAATGTTTATGCAGTGTCTTTCAATCAAGGTACATTCACTATATTTATGTGTCTTTAACCCATTCATGTGATGTTTTTTTCTTATGAAAATGCTGACGTTATTATCAGCAGGAACATGGAGCGATAGTTCACCATAAAAGATTGGACTTATACAATTTTAGATTACACATGCTTCAGTATTAAATAGCTCAGTATGATCTCAGAACACACACACAAATGGCCATAGCAGTGTTCTGAGATTATGCTGTAAAATATAAAGTGCCTTAGTTCTACAAATTCCAGTAAAGAGTGTTGTTCTTAAGTATATAATGTGAGAAATCTTTCTGTGACATTTGTGATTGATTCTCTTTTCTTGATTTATTCTGTTCTAATGCAAATGAATTTTTCACAGTCCTCTTTTATGCAAAATAAAAGCTTTTAAGTCTAAAAACTGTACTGTGATATGACATACATGAGTTGGACATATTTGTAAGTCCTATATTCCCACGTATCTCTTTTATAAGAGTGTCATTTATAAGAGATCTGGTTATTAAGACAGACTTTTTCTGTGTTTAATTCTAAGGATAAATCTGCAGAATTGATTTAACAGAAGCAAAATATTTACAAACTGCAGAAATCTATTGCCACAGATTCACTCACTGCTCATTTCAATCATCATTTTCATGATGTGAATCTCTAACAAACCCTCCCCATAATGCGGACTGCTTATTCACCAACAGGACAGGGATATGTGATGGATATTGATGAGGTTATTAAATGTGTTTTCTGTGTTTATGTTGAACGGGACCCTCTTTGTGAGTCCTTCATTAGGGTTTACTGTGAAGAAGGATTTATATGGACAGTGAGGCATTAAAAACCATACCCATGCTGAATGTCTTCACATGGAAAATAATAACTGACGACGTTTTCATTGTCTTTTCTATCCATTATATTTTGAATGAAAGTCATTATGCAATATGCCCTGTACAAGCCTGTTTTGAATAAAGTTCTCTTTAGACATTGTTTATTGCTGCATTTTTAAGTTTTACCATTTTGTCTTAAAAACATTAACTTTTCCTTCTGATTAAGCTTTGTGAGAATTCAACAATACAAATTCAGCTATAATACAATTAAGCGATTCAGATAGACACGATTTCCAGGGATTTTGGATTTTAAGTGTTTTGTCACTGGAATTCTTTCTGTTTTATGTCTAACGACCTCTGTCAGCTGAGGAGGAGGATGGTGGACGTGTGTGATAGTGATTTAACCCCATGTAGCCTACATTATATCATTAAAACATTTGGGATGAAGTATTATTATTACAATTTACAATCATATATTTTAAAATTTACATTGTGACGGCAAAGCTGAATTTTCAACAACATTACTCCAGTCTTCAGTGTCACATGATCCTTCAGAAATCATTCAGATATTCTGATTTGGTGGTCAAGAAACTTCTTATTTTATCAATGTGCAGCTTAATATTTACAAAACTTACTGACCCCAAACATTTGAACGGTAGTGTATCTAATACGTGTTACAACACCCAGAACTCAACATGGTAAGTGAAGAAAGAAACAGACCGCAGACATGAATGAAAAACAAACTGACAGGCTGGACTGAACATTAGTCTCATTACATTTTACTACTTTTTTTTTTTTTTTTGCAAAGACAGCATTGGAGAGAATGACGCTTGTTCTGCAGGAAGTGTCATCATGGCTCATGTCAGAGGCTAAAACCTCTTATGCTCGATGTCTCATAGATTTGGCAGATTACAGCGTGACCGGACACCGGGAGGAGTTCAGTTGAGATACAAAAGCAGATTATGCAGATTAATTGATTCCGTTCACTGCATGACTGATGAAGCTCCCAGGCGGCTTTTTCAAATGCAGTGCTGCTTATCAGCTACACGTGTTTTATGGGCAGAAGGGGAGCAGAATATGAATAATCATCCACCAGTGTCATATATCATTAGATTTGGGGTGGAGGTGTTTATATGGCAAACGTTCAGTTTAATATTATGAATGATAGGCTATAATAACTCATGCAGAGTGCTCACATAATGCTCTTATTCATACAAGACTAGGGTGATGCAAACCGTTTGTGACGTCCAAAAGAGAAGACAATGACCAGGACTCCTTAATGTGATTTACTGAAAAACAGCATGGAAAACGGTTCCTGATCCTGAAGTGGATCATTTGGGAATGCCGCCTCTTTTTAATGAACTCCTTATGGACTACATTTTCTGTTACATGGATGGGGAAACGAGCCCATCAGTCTAATTCCTTCCAATTCAAAATAAATAAATAAATAAAAACTAAATTTCTAACAAGTCATATAGGCTATCTCACAAATCTAAGGATTGTCTGACCTGTCATTTAAATAGGCTTTAGCAACAACACCGATGTCTTAATAATACATCATTTTATCTTAATAATACATCTGATAGATCATACAACTTTTTAGTGGCTAGTACGTGTTCGTCTATCAAGTTCATGTACAATCTATTTAATTATTTTTACATCGCATTTTTGTGTACGAGTGTAATACTGCAATTTTATCACAAGAGGGTAATGTTGTCATCTCTAAACAGTCTAAAACCACATCATGAAAAGAGGAAACTGCTTCACAGGCAGTTACGCTTGTTATGTTATGATTTAGTTATTTGGTATAACTTGTTGAAAAAACCAGCATATGTTGGTTAGGTATGTTTTGACGCTGGGATGCTGGTTTAAGCTGGTCCTTTGCTGGTTTAAGCTGGTCCTTTGCTGGTTTAAGCTGGTCCTTTGCTGGTTTAAGCTGGTCCTTTGCTGGTTTAAGCTGGTCCTTTGCTGGTTTAAGCTGGTCCTTTGCTGGTTTAAGCTGGTCCTTTGCTGGTTTAAGCTGGTCCTTTGCTGGTTTAAGCTGGTCCTTTGCTGGTTTAAGCTGGTCCTTTGCTGGTTTAAGCTGGTCCTTTGCTGGTTTAAGCTGGTCCTTTGCTGGTTTAAGCTGGTCCTTTGCTGGTTTAAGCTGGTCCTTTGCTGGTTTAAGCTGGTCCTTTGCTGGTTTAAGCTGGTCCTTTGCTGGTTTAAGCTGGTCCTTTGCTGGTTTAAGCTGGTCCTTTGCTGGTTTAAGCTGGTCCTTTGCTGGTTTAAGCTGGTCCTTTGCTGGTTTAAGCTGGTCCTTTGCTGGTTTAAGCTGGTCCTTTGCTGGTTTAAGCTGGTCCTTTGCTGGTTTAAGCTGGTCCTTTGCTGGTTTAAGCTGGTCCTTTGCTGGTTTAAGCTGGTCCTTTGCTGGTTTAAGCTGGTCCTTTGCTGGTTTAAGCTGGTCCTTTGCTGGTTTAAGCTGGTCCTTTGCTGGTTTAAGCTGGTCCTTTGCTGGTTTAAGCTGGTCCTTTGCTGGTTTAAGCTGGTCCTTTGCTGGTTTAAGCTGGTCCTTTGCTGGTTTAAGCTGGTCCTTTGCTGGTTTAAGCTGGTCCTTTGCTGGTTTAAGCTGGTCCTTTGCTGGTTTAAGCTGGTCCTTTGCTGGTTTAAGCTGGTCCTTTGCTGGTTTAAGCTGGTCCTTTGCTGGTTTAAGCTGGTCCTTTGCTGGTTTAAGCTGGTCCTTTGCTGGTTTAAGCTGGTCCTTTGCTGGTTTAAGCTGGTCCTTTGCTGGTTTAAGCTGGTCCTTTGCTGGTTTAAGCTGGTCCTTTGCTGGTTTAAGCTGGTCCTTTGCTGGTTTAAGCTGGTCCTTTGCTGGTTTAAGCTGGTCCTTTGCTGGTTTAAGCTGGTCCTTTGCTGGTTTAAGCTGGTCCTTTGCTGGTTTAAGCTGGTCCTTTGCTGGTTTAAGCTGGTCCTTTGCTGGTTTAAGCTGGTCCTTTGCTGGTTTAAGCTGGTCCTTTGCTGGTTTAAGCTGGTCCTTTGCTGGTTTAAGCTGGTCCTTTGCTGGTTTAAGCTGGTCCTTTGCTGGTTTAAGCTGGTCCTTTGCTGGTTTAAGCTGGTCCTTTGCTGGTTTAAGCTGGTCCTTTGCTGGTTTAAGCTGGTCCTTTGCTGGTTTAAGCTGGTCCTTTGCTGGTTTAAGCTGGTCCTTTGCTGGTTTAAGCTGGTCCTTTGCTGGTTTAAGCTGGTCCTTTGCTGGTTTAAGCTGGTCCTTTGCTGGTTTAAGCTGGTCCTTTGCTGGTTTAAGCTGGTCCTTTGCTGGTTTAAGCTGGTCCTTTGCTGGTTTAAGCTGGTCCTTTGCTGGTTTAAGCTGGTCCTTTGCTGGTTTAAGCTGGTCCTTTGCTGGTTTAAGCTGGTCCTTTGCTGGTTTAAGCTGGTCCTTTGCTGGTTTAAGCTGGTCCTTTGCTGGTTTAAGCTGGTCCTTTGCTGGTTTAAGCTGGTCCTTTGCTGGTTTAAGCTGGTCCTTTGCTGGTTTAAGCTGGTCCTTTGCTGGTTTAAGCTGGTCCTTTGCTGGTTTAAGCTGGTCCTTTGCTGGTTTAAGCTGGTCCTTTGCTGGTTTAAGCTGGTCCTTTGCTGGTTTAAGCTGGTCCTTTGCTGGTTTAAGCTGGTCCTTTGCTGGTTTAAGCTGGTCCTTTGCTGGTTTAAGCTGGTCCTTTGCTGGTTTAAGCTGGTCCTTTGCTGGTTTAAGCTGGTCCTTTGCTGGTTTAAGCTGGTCCTTTGCTGGTTTAAGCTGGTCCTTTGCTGGTTTAAGCTGGTCCTTTGCTGGTTTAAGCTGGTCCTTTGCTGGTTTAAGCTGGTCCTTTGCTGGTTTAAGCTGGTCCTTTGCTGGTTTAAGCTGGTCCTTTGCTGGTTTAAGCTGGTCCTTTGCTGGTTTAAGCTGGTCCTTTGCTGGTTTAAGCTGGTCCTTTGCTGGTTTAAGCTGGTCCTTTGCTGGTTTAAGCTGGTCCTTTGCTGGTTTAAGCTGGTCCTTTGCTGGTTTAAGCTGGTCCTTTGCTGGTTTAAGCTGGTCCTTTGCTGGTTTAAGCTGGTCCTTTGCTGGTTTAAGCTGGTCCTTTGCTGGTTTAAGCTGGTCCTTTGCTGGTTTAAGCTGGTCCTTTGCTGGTTTAAGCTGGTCCTTTGCTGGTTTAAGCTGGTCCTTTGCTGGTTTAAGCTGGTCCTTTGCTGGTTTAAGCTGGTCCTTTGCTGGTTTAAGCTGGTCCTTTGCTGGTTTAAGCTGGTCCTTTGCTGGTTTAAGCTGGTCCTTTGCTGGTTTAAGCTGGTCCTTTGCTGGTTTAAGCTGGTCCTTTGCTGGTTTAAGCTGGTCCTTTGCTGGTTTAAGCTGGTCCTTTGCTGGTTTAAGCTGGTCCTTTGCTGGTTTAAGCTGGTCCTTTGCTGGTTTAAGCTGGTCCTTTGCTGGTTTAAGCTGGTCCTTTGCTGGTTTAAGCTGGTCCTTTGCTGGTTTAAGCTGGTCCTTTGCTGGTTTAAGCTGGTCCTTTGCTGGTTTAAGCTGGTCCTTTGCTGGTTTAAGCTGGTCCTTTGCTGGTTTAAGCTGGTCCTTTGCTGGTTTAAGCTGGTCCTTTGCTGGTTTAAGCTGGTCCTTTGCTGGTTTAAGCTGGTCCTTTGCTGGTTTAAGCTGGTCCTTTGCTGGTTTAAGCTGGTCCTTTGCTGGTTTAAGCTGGTCCTTTGCTGGTTTAAGCTGGTCCTTTGCTGGTTTAAGCTGGTCCTTTGCTGGTTTAAGCTGGTCCTTTGCTGGTTTAAGCTGGTCCTTTGCTGGTTTAAGCTGGTCCTTTGCTGGTTTAAGCTGGTCATGTGCTGGCAAAGGACCAGCATAAACCAGCAAAAGGACCAGCATAAACCAGCTTAAACCAGCATCCCAGCGTCAAAACATACCTAACCAGCATGCTGGTTTTTTCAACAGGGAGGGCAGCTTGATAATGTTAGATTAATATAATCTTCTGACTTTATCTTACTTTGTGGTGTTAATGTGTAACTTTCTAAATGGCAGACAGACAATATAATTTTACATAATAGCCTAAGTATGGGCAGGTTATGTAACATTTGATTACGATGTACAAACACACATCCATAAATAAATACATACATACATAAATTGGGGTTTGTTTGTGGATTTGAATAGAAAACAATAGGTTAATTATTCATTAACTTATTAACTAATCTGTAATTTATTATTTATTTTGATGGTGTTGTACATCATGATATATTAATAATAATGAATACTTGCTGTTAAATTTGTATTACTGTTATTATTGTTGAAAACAGTTGTTGCTTCTTAATGTTTTTGAGAAAATTGTCATACCCAAGTTTTGAATGGCTGTGTAAGTAAGATGTTTAAAAAGAGATAAAAGAACGTGATACTTTTATTCAACAATATAAAGTGACAGTTGTTTGAACTAAGCTTATCTGTTCATCAAAGAATCTTGAGGAGAAAAAGTATCACGGTTTCTACCAAAATATTAAGCAGCAAAAGCTGTTTTCAACATTAGTAATAATATGAAATATTTCTTGAGCAGCAAATCAGCATATCAGAATGATTTCTGAAGGATCATGTGACACTGAAGACTGGAGTAATGATGCTGAAAATTCAGCTTTGCATCACAGGAATAAATTACATTCTTAAAATATCATAAAATATAAAACAATCATTTAAACCAGCATCCCAGCGTCAAAACATACCTAGATATGCTTGATAATGTTAGATTAATATAATCTTCTGACTTTATCTTACTTTGTGGTGTTAATGTGTAACTTTCTAAATGGCAGACAGACAATATAATTTTACATAATAGCCTAAGTATGGGCAGGTTATGTAACATTTGATTACGATGTACAAACACACATCCATAAATAAATACATACATACATAAATTGGGGTTTGTTTGTGGATTTGAATAGAAAACAATAGGTTAATTATTCATTAACTTATTAACTAATCTGTAATTTATTATTTATTTTGATGGTGTTGTACATCATGATATATTAATAATAATGAATACTTGCTGTTAAATTTGTATTACTGTTATTATTGTTGAAAACAGTTGTTGCTTCTTAATGTTTTTGAGAAAATTGTCATACCCAAGTTTTGAATGGCTGTGTAAGTAAGATGTTTAAAAAGAGATAAAAGAACGTGATACTTTTATTCAACAATATAAAGTGACAGTTGTTTGAACTAAGCTTATCTGTTCATCAAAGAATCTTGAGGAGAAAAAGTATCACGGTTTCTACCAAAATATTAAGCAGCAAAAGCTGTTTTCAACATTAGTAATAATATGAAATATTTCTTGAGCAGCAAATCAGCATATCAGAATGATTTCTGAAGGATCATGTGACACTGAAGACTGGAGTAATGATGCTGAAAATTCAGCTTTGCATCACAGGAATAAATTACATTCTTAAAATATCATAAAATATAAAACAATCATTTACAATTACAATATTGCTGTTTTTACTGTATTTTTGATTAAACATGTAACCTTGGTGAACACAAGGGACTTTTTTTTTTTTAATAATAATTAAATTAAATAATAATTATTCTCAACTTTTGACCAGTAGTGTATATTTGTCCACATACAACGTTGAAAAGTGGTCAACAGCAGCAGTTCATGAGGGTTCACGCTTTGCACCGGCTCCTTGGCATACGCATGCGCACATCTAGCCACTAGAGCACGGACAGAGCAGTAGTGCGCATGCGTGTAATGCACACGCACGGTTCAAGCTTTGTTTGGAAAGTGACGACCAAAACAGTGCAGTAAACGAGTCTGAACCCGATGCGTCACGGCCGACTCTGTTTCTGACAGTTTCACAATCTAATGTAGTATACTTTTGTACAAAAGTGTTTTAACATAGTACGATCAAGATGACAGTGACTTCGTTTTTATCAACAAGTAGGTAGCGAATACCGATCATGACCGAAGTGTCAGCTTGTTTGGGTGCAAAGCAGCAGTGGATGGCAAGCGATAGACGGGTCGCACACACGGATCCCTCACACCCTGATCTCACCTGTGGCTTTACGGAGCAGTTTTAATCTCTATACGCGATGGAAAGCGTTGGAAAATACGAGTTCAGCA